GGAATGAATATAAACAGATGGATCAGTAGAAAAAACATAACCTGGCCTTGGCCAGTGGCTCCTGTGTACATCTGCTGAGGCTGTAAATAGCAGCAGAAGCCTTTGGAAGGATGACATGGTGCAGGATGGGTTGGAGGAGTATGGAGGTGAAGGGCTGCATTGTGTGCAATCACCTACTCCTCCTTAATTACTCCCACTCTTTTAAAACCTAGAGATCTTTCTAGTAAAAGCCATGTTGCACTGCTCATCCTTTCCCTCCTGGGACACGAGCTTCTCAAGGAATTTGAGGCAAGCAGTCAAAAGGAATGTAGACTCCTGCAGAGACTTTGGTCTCTTCCTTCCTGACCTCCTCTTTGTTTTGAGCTGACCACTTCTGCACTCACTGTTGCTCATCACAGTGCTTGGAGAAGTCAGGATGCTGCAACAAGGCTTTCTTTGAAATGCCAAGTTGCAAGAGGACATCTCCCACATAATTGTTCCCAAACTTCCTGGGTGAGCTGTGAGCTGCTGCTGAGGACATGGCTGGGCAGTCCAACTGCTGACCTCATTGCTGGGAAATGCAGGCCTAGAACAGCTTGTCTGTGAGCTGCACACTGGGTTACATGGGAAGGCTCTGGAATATGTCTGTTAACACTGCTCTGTCCCAGCTCAGAGCATTTCTGAACTGGCATGTGGGCTGGATACAGCTAGTCCTGACCCCAGGACTATAGGGAATGGCCATAAGCTGAGATGGGAGATTCAGATTAGATGTTAGGAAAAATGTTTTCCCTGTTCAGGCAATGGAATAGGGAATTGCCCAGGAAATTGTCCAGGGATGGTGACTCCACCACCTCCTTGGGCAGCCCCTTCCAATGTCTGACAGGCCTTTCTGTGGAGAAATTCTTCCTGATGTCCAACCTGAGCCTCCCCTGGCATTACAGATCCCTCTGCAGAGCCTGCCTACCCTCCAGCAGATCAATAGTCCCACCCAACTTGGTGTTGTCTGTGAACTTGATCCTCTCATCCAGGTCATCAATAAAGATATTAAACAGGAGTGAATCTCAGGGGACTGGTACCTCTGTGCATCCTTACAGAGGCTGCTCCTCAAAGCTCTCAGAGAATTCAGCTGCTCAGGGGATTTGCAGGCAGCTGCCAGTTTGCAAAAGGCATGGCTTGGAGGAATGTGTCCGAGGTTGGGACTCTGAGCAAGTTCCACCTGTACCTAGAGCACTTTCTGTCACCATACACCCCAATTTGGAGATGCCACCAAGGGCTTGGGGGTGGCAATCAATGACACTGCACTGATCATCAAGGTTGTTGTCCCTTGAGTGCTTCTCATGCTAAGGGAGATGGTTTGTCTGTCCTCAGTAGCTTGACCTTATGCTCCCAGGTGATGAACACAGGGAGGTGATGTGCTGCCATTGGTGTGCCAGTAAGGAGCTGTTGGCACAGTCCCTCTGCTGAGGTTGCAGAGATGGGTTCATCGTGGTTAAAGTTAAGCAGTATTTCCCAGAAGGAAAGGACTGTGGAAGGCTGATTGCCTCTAGCTTATTTGAGCTGTGGGTATGTATTCTCTCTTGATCTCTGAGACAAGCAGAGTACTTGTTTTCTAGACTATTTTGATATCCCAGCTGGTGACTTCTGTTACTCCCTGCTCAGTTTGGGCAGGATGGGCTCTGCTTTTGGAGCATGGAGAGACTCATTCTCCCCGCTGTCCTTTGTGATGTTTGTTTCTGTTAACTCTTTCGCAGGGGAGCTGGCTGTGGTGGGTGTAGCATAGACCTGTTGACACAGGGAGGGAGGGAAGGTGGTCACAAAGCAGCAGTGACAGAGCAGCTGGCACTAACTGTGCTCTTCTTCCCTAGGTTGACCGGGTGAGCTACCTGCTGCAGGAGATCTACGGCATTGAGAACAAAAACAACCAAGAGACCAAGGTAAAGCTGCTCAGGAGGCTCCTGCTCCATGAGCTCTAGGTTTCCAGCCTGTACCTCTTGCTTTTGAGCTTAACTGTGGGCATGATCAGGGCAATGTGGAGGTGGTTCCCAGACAGATTGTCAAGTCTGTGTCCTTCCTGCAGGCACCAAAGCAGCCCAGGGTTGACAGGTCCTCACTGGTATAAGGCCCAAACCATCAGTGGAGTTGTGCTGGATAATTTTATGCAGTGTGAGACTCATGAGGATGTTCCCTGGTGCTAGGATTGCAGGGAGGAAAGGGCATCAGTGCTCCATGTGTGTTTCAGAGCACTGAATTTTGTAGGCTAGTGTTGCTGCCTCTCTGCAGTCAAGGGAGTGATGCCTAGTGGATGTACTTTACTTCTGTGGCTCTGTCATGTTTGGGAGTTCTGCATGTTCCTGTAGTGTTTCACAGAACTGAGCTCTCTAGGGCTTGCCAGTGTCCGGAGAGCAGCTTGTACTCCCCAGCAAGAGGGAGCACAGCATCCCTGAGGATGTAGATGCAAATGCCATAACCAGAAACATTTCCTGTCTTGAGGCAGGAGCTGCTGCTGGATCCAGCCCTGTGTAGCTTAGGTGCCTGCTTTATGCTTCCTTTTGCCTTACACAGAGCTGCCCTTTGCTGCCATGTGGGCTGTGGAGTGTACCCAGTGCCCAGCACCACACTGCTCTGGTGTATATAGTCCATGATTTGCAAACAGAGGAGTAGCCACAGAGCAAGACAAGCAGGATTTCCTGTCCAGCCCATGCAGTGTCCTGCCCAAAGCATCCTGTGATCCCTATCTGCCTGTGCCAACAGGTAGTGCCTGAAGAGGCAGGACAGAGAAGTCTTTTCCAAGATTTTTCTTGCACAGGATCTATTTAAGAGGACTGAAGTCTTCTTTTGGGTTCTCCAAGGTGTTGTGATGATTCTCTTGATCCAGCAATCCCACATTTGTGGCCCATCAAACAAGTGGCCTGGGGCCATTTTTGTTCTTACTAGTGTACTTAGCAAACTGTGTGAATAGGACAGCAAAGAGCCTCCCTCCCTCCCAGAATAGCTGAGGAGCCCATGTGACAGGGCAGGACAGGCTTGCAGCCTCATGCTGGCAGTCAGCAGGCTGGAGAGGATGTGGCACAGCATGTGCTCAATGGTGCTGTTGACAACAAGGTTACTTGTGTCTGGCATGTGTTAGCCCTGGTGACCAAAGGAACCTGGTGAAGGTGGAGGGTGCCCCGTGCTGGGTCATGGTTCTGGGTGGGCCTTGGCACAACTTCTGAGGCATGGGTGAGGAGACTGGAGTTTTCTGCTGTCAGGGAAGGGGGCTTTTGTGGTTGGTGAGTGGGTTTCTCCTCCCAACTGCAGCTTGCTCAGCAGCTGCAATCCCATTTGTGGGGCTCTGAGTGGCTGAAAGACGAGTGTGATGCCTGTTCATGTGGAATGGGTGCACACAGGCTCTCTTACCACGGTACCTGTGAGCAGGTGAGCATCCCAGGCTGGTTCTCCTGCAGCTACATCACAGCTTGTACCAGCACAGGAGGCTGGTGAAGATGCTGGAGAACCACTCACTCCGTCACTTGTTCAGAGGACCTGTGGAAGCTGGGCTAGACAGGGCTGGAGTGCCTCCTTCTGTCCACAGGCAGCACACAGCTCCTTTTGGGGCTGCTCTCTCTCTGTCTGGGAAAGAAAGGCTGCAGTGCCCAAGAACTCACTTCCCTGGGTCAGCCCTGGAAGCCACCAGGCTGGCAGGCAGGAGCTTGTTCTTGGTCCCCCTCAGCCAAGGGGATCCTTGCCCCAAAGAGGGTCCCCTCTGCACACAGCCTGGCTCTGGGGAAGGACAGCTCTGCTGTGAATGCACGGGCAGTGCCCTGACCTTCAGTGAGCTCACAGCAGAGCCCTGGGAGGAGGGAGTGTCTGAGCAGAGCTATGTGTGCTGGAGCTTGCCCTCCTTGAGGAACCTTTCTGAGATCGAAGAAGAGAAAATTCCAGCTCTTCCACAGACTTCTGGGGCAGAGGAGTGTGGGAATTTCCCCAGAGTCTTTTGGCAGTTTGGCATAGCCCTTACCCTTTCCATGCCCATGTCTTGCCTGTCCTTGCAGCCTTCGGACGACGAGAACAGTGACAACAGCAATGAGTGTGTGGTTTGCCTGTCGGACCTGCGGGACACCCTGATCCTGCCCTGCAGGCACCTCTGCCTCTGCAACTCCTGTGCTGACACCCTGCGCTACCAGGCCAACAACTGCCCCATCTGCAGGCTGCGTGAGTCTGGCCCACACAGGGCAGCTCCTGTCAGGGCACTGCAGGCTCTGGGAGAGGGAGCATGTTGCATGTGCCCAGCCTAGGGCTCAGCATCACACGTGCTGCTGCTCTCAGTGGCACAGCAACTAACTGTGCTTGGGCAGGGGAGCAGGAGAGCATGTGGGAGAATGGCTTTGTCCAATGTCTCCCTGACCACTCACCCTCTCCCCGGGGTGAATTGGAAGGTGTAGATGCTCTGGGCTGTGCCATGTAGGCAGTTCTTGTGTGGAGAATAGAAAATTCCCCAAGGAGGGGATGGAGAAGCCTTAGCCTGAGGGTATGTGGCTGAAACAGCAGCCAGTTCCACTGAAGGGTTGTCCAAGCACCTACCATGATTTTTTTTTCCTTCTGAGAACCTTACCTTGGTTTCATCAGGAGGCAGAGATGGGACAACAGTCAGCTGGGAGTCCTTTGCTCTGCCAGGAGTTAGGAGGATCTGCCTAACCCCTGCATTTCTCAGCTCCCAACAGATGGAAAAAATTTAAATACCTGTTTTGACACTCAGGCTTCACCTGCTGAATTCCATGTCTTTTCTCAAGAGTGCAGAGGCACAGGAATCTCCTGAGAAAATGCCTGTTTTTGCTGGAAAAGACAGGTCATGTGTTTCACCCCCTGCTTGGTCTCTGAGGTGTTTGATTGTGTACCCAGACATTTTTGGCCATCAGATCCCTTCCCTGTCTAGACCAATTGACTGGAAGCCCAAGCACAGCACTTGGCTTTGAGGTGCTCTGTGGTCCTGTTCCCCATGCCTGGTGTGTCCGTGGCAGGCTGAGAAGCTCTGCCTTGGTCCTGCTTGGCTGTGTGCTCACCTACCTCCCGTTCTGTCCCAGCGTTCCGTGCCCTGCTGCAGATCCGGGCGGTGAGGAAGAAGCCAGGAGCTCTGTCACCAGTGTCCTTCAGCCCTGTCTTGGCACAGAGCGTTGACCACGACGAGCACTCTGTAAGTATCTCCTGACCCCATGGCCAAAGCCTGAGCACTGAGCTGGGCCTGAGCAGGCAGCTGGTGTGTGCATGAGTCGCTTGACCTCGTGACTGATGTCCCTGGGGCCTCAACAGGTCTGCTCAGACCTCCCTGAGTAGTGCAGCCTTTCCTGCCAGCCTGCCAGGGTCGTGGGTTAGTGACACAACTGCTTTTATCCAAGTGCCCTCCTGTCTTGGAGGAAACAAATCCACAGAAACTTCTGTCTGAGAAGGTTTCCTGGGGCCTGTCCCTGCAGGAAAGTGTCAGACTCTGGGTGTGAGAGGGTTGAGGCTGGGAAAATGGGGTGGGAGGATTGCAGTTTGACTTGCACACACATCTGTGCAGCAGCACAGTGATGAAATGCCCTTGGCATGAGGTTCCCAGCATGGTGGCAGAAAGGTCTCTTTGTGGCAGCCTCCCCGAGCTGTCTGCAGGCAGCTGATGGAGTGTGGGATGGGAGTGTGGTCCTGCTGGCCTCGGGGCCCAGCTGCATGTCCCCAGAGCACTGAGGGCAGCAGCTCATTGCCTGGGCAGTGCTGTTGCACATCTGGCTCTGGTGAGACACATAAGATCAGAGCGAGGAGACGATCTGCACCTACATCATCTTGCAGGCTTTCATGGGAACAAACATTGTCACAGAAAAGGGCTGGGTTTATCCAGCATTGTAGCCCAGCTTTCTTCAGCTGGGTCTAAGAAATAGGGCAGGGGAGAATCCCTGAGGGTTGTGGTGAAGCAGAGCTTGGTGTGTGGAGGAAGCAGGTGCTGTCACCTGCTGCGAGGTGCGGAGATGCTGTGTGTCTCTTCCTGTCACTAACCTCAAGAACCAACTTGTTTAAAACATGGTTTTCTCTTGACAGCGTCCCTTTAAACCCCCTAAAGTGAGCTCTGTCTCCCTGCCCAGCAGGAAGCCTAGAAGGGAAACAGTAAGTGGACTGGGTTGCACTTGGCTCCTGTTTGCCAGCAGTGTCACCAGCACGTGGCAGTGTAACACACGCGAGGGCTTGCTAACACACTGGGTTTACCTGTGCCCCTGCTCAGGCTGTGACACTCCATGTCTTGCTGCCACCTGGGCAGTGGGACACTCACTCCCTGCACGGATGATCACTGGTTTGCCTGCAGAGGAAAAAGCAAGATGGAAGTAGCTTGGCATAGGGGTCTGTTGCTGACCCTCAGGGACTGTCCTCAGGGCCTGTCTGGCTGATCTATAGCCCCTGGCCAAGATGTTTTCACGGCTTTGTAGGACTGTGGGCAAACTGCTGTCCCCTTGGCTCACCCTAAAGCTTCTTTTGCACTTGTCTCATCCCCTTTGCAGTTTGGCGTGGGCACATCTTGGTGTGGTTTCCAACCCAGTGCTGGGCTGGAGAGGGAGACAAAGGTGCAGCTGGAGCAGGTCTTGCACTCAGGAGCACTGGCTGCAACGGGCTGGTTTGCTTTTGCAGAAACAGGAAGGATAGAGCTTGTCTTGTCTGGAGACTCTTCAAGCTGGTGTGGGAGAGTGTAACTGGAACACCATGCTGGGGACAGTGTTTGTGGCAACTGTGGGAGGTGAGGAGCTGGGAAAGGGAAAGGTGAGGGAGGCCTCCGGGCCAGGAAGGCTCTGTTTGTGCCCTCTTTGTGTACTCCCATCAAGTGCAGCTGTGGCTGTCATTGGCACCAAGGAGGCTGCAATTTTGTTTTGCTCAGGCTGGTCTAGATGCTCAGCCTCACACGGAGTGTGGCTTGCTGGGCTTCTCAGGTCTAGAAAAAACCTGAGGTTGTCTTCAGGTAATGAGGCTATTTCAATTTTGGCACGGCCTGGCTCTCTTCAAGCCTCCTACAGCCACTCCCGGGTGTGATAGTGTGTGTCCCAGGAGAGGGCAGTGTCTCTTAGGGCAGTTTAGAAGCTCAGTAGCTTGTAGTGTGGATGTTGTAGCAATTGCCTGAGATATCTTCCTCCAGCCTCTGAGTTGTGCTGTGGAGCCTGAGTTTTCACCACAGGGACCCAAAATAAGCAGCCCTTGAACCCTCAGGCCCTGGTCTGAGTCCCACACATGACCCAGGGGGTTTTGTCTCCCTGACTTTTCTGTCCACAGAATAACACCTTTGAACTGCTGTCTGGGGGTGGCTGAGCTGAGCTGCCTGTGGCCTCCTGAGTCTCAGCATAAACCCCATCTGTCTCTGTGTCCACAGGATCTTTATGATCAGGAGGATTTTTGGAGTTAAACCAGTGTTGGTTTAATAGCTTTTCAAGGGTCCCTTTGACTGTCAGTTTTGAGTTACAGAAGGAATGGGAATTGGTGTGGTTTTCCCTCCTCCCTTCCGAGGTCAGTGGTTCTGTGATGTCTTTCCTGCCTTTAGCAGAGGTGACTGTGCAGGGAGCCAGTGTTAGCAGCTGAGAGGACATGGGAGAACTGGAAGTGATGTAGGCTGTAAGAACCATCTCAGCTGGTGCTACTTCCCTCATTCAACTCTGTCTTGGTGGCACTGGTGGTATTGTGGAACAGCTGCATGTTCCATGGCTGGAAGCAGGAGCAGGATGTTCATTGGGCTGGAAAGGTCTCTGAACCACTGGAGGAACTTCTAGGAATAAAAATCCAAATGTATTTTATAGCAGCTTTTTAGGAACCTGCTTTCTCCCCCTCCTTGTCCAGCTCTTGGAAGTATGGCAGGGGCTGCCCAGTGATGTTCTGGTCTCGAGCATTGCTCTGGAAACTTGCCTGGAGCATCATCACTGTCACAACCCGAAGGGGAATGTGTGGCTGTGGCAGGGGAAGGAGCTGAGGTGGCTGTGGGGATGTGCTGCCTGGGAGGGGCAGTGCTGGGTGGCAGCAGAGCCTCCCCTTTCCAGGGTGATTCCAACCTGGTGACCTTTCCTAACTGCTCCCGTGTTTCCTGCCCGCAGAGCTCTGACAACATCCCTCCAGGCTACGAGCCCATCTCCCTGCTGGAAGCTCTGAACGGCCTTCGCTCCGTGTCCCCCTCCATCCCCTCTGCACCTCTGTACGAGGAGATCAGCTACTCGGGGGTGGGGGACGGGCTGCCCCCCACCAGCCGCCCACTCGTGGCCATGGACAGGGCCCTGGACAGTGGCCACCAAAAGGGCAAGAGGAGCAAGTCTCCAGACAGGTCAGCACTGGGCTAGGGTTCCACTCCTCCTGCAAGCCCCAAGGGCTTGTGGCCACACAAGGGAGCCAGGAGAGGGCTCTGGCTGGTCCCATCACTGCTAGCACTGCTGACTCAGAATTTTAGGAGGCCAGAGGGTACTTGTGCCAGTGAGAGAATTGGGATGTCTCCTGTGTTCAGCCTGAGGTTACAGCTTGTGTCTCCTAAGGACTGATGTGCCACCAAAAGAAAGAGGTTCATTAACAAGGAGAATTTAATCATGGAATGGTTTGGGTTGGAGGGACCTTAAAGCTCATCTTGTTCCACCCCCTGTCATGGGCCAGGACACCTTTCACTAGAACATGTTGCTCCAGACCCCATCCAATCTGGCCTTGGATGCTTCCAGGGATGGAGCAGCCACAGCTCTCTGGGCAACCTGTGCCAGTGTCTCACCACCCTCACAGTCAAGTCTTTGGATGGAAATGTCTCCTTCCCAATGCACTTAGTCCCTCAATTTGCATTTGACATCCAAACCTTGTTGGATTCCTGGAGCTCCCCAGGAGCAAAGGAATGGGGAGAGAAGTGACCTGAATTTCAAAGCATGGAATGCTGGATGAGATCCTGTAGTTCTTGTCTGAAGGCTCCTCTGTTGGCCTTGTGATGGAGGGTGTGGGTGAGGCTGTGGGGCCGTACAGATGGGATCAGTCCGGGTTTGCTCCTGGCACTTCTCACTGTGCTCCATTCCAAATTTCCCCCTGGGAAGGGAGCCCTGAAGGTGTGAGGAGCAGCGTGGGACCTGGGCCTCTTGCTTTCCATGCAAAGCAGATCTGTCCAAGCTGTGTTGCCATGCCAAAGCTCAGCATCACTTGGCTCTGTCCCACTCTGCTGCTGCCACTCTCCTGTGTAGGCGATATTGGAGCCCCTGGTGAATCTAGCTCAACAGCCTGAGCTCCTGCTCATGTGTGTTGGCTTGTGCTGGCCCCAAATCCTTCAGGGCCGTGGTGCTGGCAGCACTGTGACTCCCTGCAAATGAAGTTTCTCTTATCCCACAGCACACTGCGGTCTCCCTCATCCCCAATCCACGAGGAGGACGAGGAGAAGCTCTCTGAGGACTCTGACTCACAGCCGGTGCTGAGCGGGGGTGAGCTGGTCCTGAGAGAGACCAGCTCTCCAGAGGTCAGTGTGTGCTCTGCTGGGGGCTGCTCTGAGCCACAGCTCTTCTGGGGGGGCTTCTGGCACACGGGAGGTGCCTTGGGAAGGGCAACTGCCTGGAGCCAGCAGTCTTGGCTGCTTTATTTCCTCCTCCATGGGGAATGACAGAGCCACTCCTTGTGCCCCTGACACCTCTCTGGGAGCTGGACCTGAGAAAACCACTCAGCTGGAGCCATGTCAGACCTTCCCCAGCAGCCTGGGGGAGCCAAGCTGTGTCTGGGGCAGAGGTGCAACCTGGGCCTTGCTGGGCTTTCAGCACCCACTGCCATTGCCTGTAAATCCCCTCTACCCTGGTCTGTGGTTCCACAGAGCTGGGGGTAGCCCCTTGCTCCTGCCCTGGAACAAGTACTGGCCCCAAGCATAACTCCTTGGAGAAAGCCAGAGCAGAACAGTGCAGCAAGCCTCCAGCTGCAGAAGTAACCTGTGCTCTCCTTCCTTACAGAGTGTGGCAGGGGAAGAGGTGGAGGAGGCCTCGTCCGTGCAGCAGGGTAGGTGTGCACCTGGCTATGGGTATCATTGTGGTGGGGCAGGGACAACTGGGGAATGAACAGATGAGCTCAGAAACATCCACTCCCTCAAAGCCCATCTCTGAGCCTCTGTGCTTCACCAGGGAAAGGTGCCAGGGTCTCTCCTGGCAAGTGGGGGAACAAATTCCACAGATCTCCCTGTGTTACTTGCCAAGCATCTCACCTTGCTTTCCATGCCATGGGCTGTCTCCTGGCATGGCCGAGGAGGAGATGGCTGTGTGCACCACTGGGGTCCTGGTGAGAGCATGGCCATAGTACTGGGCGTGCAGGATGTGCCCCATGTCTTTGGGATGGGTCAGGCAGCACCCAGAGGGCATGAGGACAGCGTGAGAGAGAGAGGAGTGATGGGCACATTTTGGGCCACGAACTTATGTATGAAGAGATGTCCCTTTAGCAGTGTGACCTGGGTGAGCCTGACAGGGAGCTCTGCGGGGCCGGGGGAGCTGTTTTGGGGCTGAGCCTGTGCTCTGGGCGGTTACAGGCAGCCGCCCGCCCTCGGTGGAGGACGTGCTGCAGGACAGCAGCTGCGCTGAGCACAGGAGCCTGACGCAGTCGGACAGCGACCCCCCGGTGGACGTGTACCTGCCAGGTAAGGGCGGTGCCGTTGGGCTCGGAGCCCCCGCGGGTGGTGATGCTGGGGGTGCTGTGCCCCCGGGGGACACAGCAGTGCCCCTGCCCCGAGCCTTTCCTCCTGTGGGTGAGGTGGGCTAGCACAGGGGTAATGCCCCCACTTCTCTCTCCTTTCTCACCCTTTTGTCTCTGTCGTTCCCCTCCTTTCTCCTCTCTGGGCTGCAGGTGCTCTGTGGCACAGTTCAATGTGACAGTGGCCTCCCGTGCTGACCCCCAAACATGCTCCTGCTTTTGGGCAAGGGAGGGGAACCATCTGGGCCAGCTTGGAGGGGCTTGGGGCAGGGAGGGTTTTGGCCGTGCCTTGCTGGGGAGCACAGCCATGGCACAGGGCACTGTCCTCACCTCTGACTGTTGTCGTTGCAGCCTCTTTTCTTCCCTAGAGTCACAGGCTATTCTGAGTTACCTCTCTAATGTCTCCTTCCCTCTCTGTCTGCCTTCCTCCCTCCTGTCTTGGGCAGCACTGGGTCCTGATTCCTGCTCTGTTGGTATAGAGGAGTAAGCTGGTACGTCTTCTCATTCTCCATATGTATGGCTGTGGTGTGGGGCAGCAGGGCTGGGCCAGAGGGATGAGGCTGCTCCTGGTCACCGGGGCAGAGAAGGAGGGGCAGCAAACCAGCCTGGCTGCACTGCTGGCTCTGTTGTGGCTCCCTTCCCATCGCTGGTACCAGCATCCAGGCTGTCCCTGTGTGCTGGGACCCCAGGCA